GCTAAAGGAATACATTAGCACCAAACCAGCATTGCAAGAAATGTTAAAAGGACTGCTATAATTAGCAGGAGAAACAGAAAAAAAAATAGAACCACACTAAACAAAAATGGCAATAAATAAGTACATATCAATAATCACCTTAAATGTAAATGGACTGAAAGCTCCGATAAAAAGACACAGGGTAGCTGATTGGATAAGAAAGCATGACTCATATACATATATATAGTTTATAAGAGACCCACCTCACAACAAAAGACTCAGATAGGTTGAAAGTGAAGGGATGGAAAAAAGTCTTCCAAGCAAACAGAAAGGGAAAAAAAGCTGAAGTAGCAATATTCATATCTGATAAAACAGATTTCAAAATGAAGGCCATAACTAGAGACAAAGAAGGCCACTTCAGAATACTGAAAGGATCTATCCAACAGGAAGATATAACCTTGATAAACATATATGCACCCAACACAGGAGCACCAAAATATATTAAAAATCTTCTGGAGGACTTCAAAGGAGAAACTGATAGCAATACAATCATAGCAGGGGACTTCAACACCCCACTGACATCACTGGATAGATCCTCTAGACAAAAAAAATCAGCAAGGAAACAGAGACTCTAAATGAAGCACTAGACCAAATGGATTTAATCGATATCTACAGAGAATTACACCCCAAAACTACAGAATTCACATTCTTCTCAAGTGCACATGGGACATTCTCAAAAATAGACCACATGTTAGGGCACAAACTAAGTCTCTACAAGTTCAAAAAGATTGAAATCATATCAAGCATCTTCTCAGATCACAATGGCATGAAACTAGAAATCAATTGCAACAAGAACATACAAAGACATTTGAACACATGGAGGCTAAATAGCATGTTATTAAACAACAAATGGGTTACCGAGGAGATCAAGGAAGAAATTAAAAACTTCCTGGAAACCAATGAAAATGAACACACAACAACACAAAATTTATGGGATGCAGCAAAAGCAGTTCTGAGAGGGAAGTTCATAGCACTATAGGTCTACCTCAAGAAACAAGAAAAATCTCTAATAGACTATCTAACCTCACAACTTAAAGAACTGGAAAGCAAACAAAAAGTAGAAGGAAGGAAATAGTAAAGATCAGAGCAGAAATAAATGACATAGAGTCCAAACAAACAATTCAAAGGAGCAATGAAACAAAGAGCTGGTTTTTCGAAAAGATTAACAAGATGGATGGACCTTTAGCTAGACTCACCAAGGAACAAAGAGAAAGAACCCAAATACGCAAAATCAGAAATGAAAGAAGAGAAGAAACAACTGACACCACAGAAATACAAAAGATCGTTAACAGCTATTAACAATTATATGGCAACACATTCGAAAATCTAAGCGTAATGAACAAATTTCTAGAAACACACAGTCTCCCAAAACTGGACTGGGAAGAGATAGAAAACTTGAATAGACCAATAACAACAGAAGAAATTGAAGAGGTAATAAAGACTCTCCCAGCAAACAAAAGCCCAGACCTGGATGGCTTCACGGGGGAGTTTTACCGAATATTCAAAAAAGAACTAACACCCATTCTCCTTAAACTATTTCAAAAAATTCAAGAAGAAGGAACACTTCCAAACTCATTTTATGAGGCCAACATAATTCTAATTCCAAAACCAGAAAAAGACATTACAAAGAAAGAAAACTACAGGCCAATATACCTGATGAACATAGATGCCAAAATCCTGAACAAAATACTACCAAATTGAATCCAGCAATATATTAAAAAAATTATTCAAATGACCAAGTGGGATTCATCCCAGGGATGCAAGGCTGGTACAATATTCGCAAATCAATAAATGTGATACACTACATAAACAAAATGATGAATAAAAACCACATGATCATATCAATAGATGCTGAAAAAGCCTTTGACAAAATCCAGCATCCATTTCTGATAAAAATGCTCAGCAATGTGGGAATAGAGGGATCGTATCTTGACATAATAAAGGCCATATAGGAAAGACCTATAGCCAACATCATACTCAATGGGTAAAAACTAAAAGCATTTCCTTAAGATCAGGAACAAGACAGGGATGTTCACTTTCACTACTGTTATTTAACATAGTACTGGAAGTGTTAGCCACAGCAATCAGAGAGGAGGAAAAAATAAAAGGGATCCAAATTGGAAAGGAGGAAGTGAAACTGTCATTATTTGCAGATGACATAATAGTATACATAGAAAACCCTAAAGACTCCATCAGAAATCTACTAGACTTAATAAATGAATTTGGCAAAGTAGCATGATACAAAATTAACGTCAAGAAATCGATGGCATTCTTGTACACCAATGATGAACTCACAGAAAGAGAAACTAAGAAAACAATCCCATTTACCATTGCAGCAAAAAAATTAAGATACTTAGGAATAAACCTAACCAAAGAAATATGGACCTATTTGCAGAAAACTACAGGTCATTGAAAAAAAAAATAGAGGAAGATATAAAACTGTGGAAGAACATACCTTGTTCATAAATTGGAAGAATTAACATCATTAAAATGTCCATATTACCCAAAGCAATCTATAGATTCAATGCAATCCCCATGAAAATACCGACAACATACTTCATAGAACTAGAACAAATACTTCAAAAGTTCATATGGAAACAAAAAAGACCTCGAATAGCCACAGCAAACTTGAAAAAGAAGAACAGTTTAGGGGGGATGACACTGCCACATTTCAGGTTATACTACAAAGCCACTATAATCAAAACAGCCTGGTACTGACACAAGAACAGGCAGATAGACCAGTGGAACAGAACAGAGAACCCAGAAATGGACCCAAGGCATTATGTTCAATTAATATTTGACAAAGGAGGCAAGAGCATACAGTGGAATAAAGACAGCCTCTTTAATAAATAGTGTTGGGAAAATTAGACAGCTACATGCAAAAAAATGAAACTAGACCATCAACTTACACCATACACAAGAGTAAACTCAAAATGGATAAAAGACTTAAATGTATGTGACTCATGAGTCCATAAAAATCCTAGAAGAAACTGTAGGCAACAAAATGTCAGACATCATACACAGCAGAATTTTCACTGATACATCACCCAAGGCAACAGAAACAAAGAAGAAAATGAACACATGGGACTACATCAAACTTAAAAGCTTCTGCACAGCAAAAGATACAATCATCAAAATAGAAAAGCAACCCACTGTATGGGAGAGCATAGCTGCCAATGACAAATCAGATAAGGGGTTAATTTCCAATATATATAGAGTGCTCATACAACTCAACAAAAGGAAGACAAAGAACCCAATTAAAAAATGGGCAGAGGAACTCAATAGACACCTCTCCAAACAGGACATACAAATGGCTAAGAGACATATGAAGAAATGCTCAACATCACTAATCATCAGAGATGCAAATTAAAACAACAATGAGCTATCACCTCACACCAGTCAGAATGGCCGCCATCAACAAATCATCAAACCACAAGTGTTGGTGAGGGTGTGGAGAAAAGGGAATGTGCTGATGGGAATGCAGACTGGTGCAGCCACTATGGAAAACACTATAGTGTTACCTCAAAAAATTAAAAATTGAACTTCCATTTCACCCAGTGATCCCACTTCTAGGAATATACCCTAAGAAGCCTGAAACACCAATCAGAAAGAATATATGTACCCCCATGTTCACAGCAGCACTATTTACAATAGCTAAGATCTGGAAACAGCCCAAATGTCCATCAATAGACGAATGGATAAAAAAGCTGTGGTACATATACACAATGGAGTACTATGCAGCTCTAAGAAAGAAAGATCTCTTATCCTTTGAGACTACATGGAGGGACCTGGAGAGTATTATCCTAAGCAAAACAAGTCAAGCAGAGAAAGACAAATATCACATGATCTCATTTATTTGTGGAATATAATGAACATAGCAGTCTGAGGAATGAGATAGTCCCAGAGACGTGGAAGTGGGGTACAGACTGACAATCCCCAGAAGAGGGGATGGGGGCGATAAACCACAGAACTTATATACATGTATACATGAACAATGGACATGGACAACAAAGCTGGGGACAGGGCAGGGAGGGAGGAGGAGGGGGGAATCAGTGGGGGGAAAAGGAGAAACATCTCAAACAAAAATAAATTAATTAATTAAATAGGAAAAAAATTATGTTGTACACCTGAAACTTAATAATGTTATTAACCTACGTTAACCTCAGGATTTTTTAAAATTCTTTTTTAGCTGTTATAATGTATGTGTTAATTTTTAAAGTCAGTTATGGATAGATATATTCAGGATATATGTCAGAATAATAATACAGAAGGTAGATGAGTAGGTAGCAGTAAAAAATGAAACAAGATTGACTGTGAGTTGAAGATTGTTTAGGGAGTATGATGGGTATATAAGGGTTCATCATATCATTCACTCTACTTGAGTATATATTTAAAATTTTCTATAAAGAAAAGTTAAAACAAAAAAAGAACAGTAAGTCATATAATTTTTATTTAAAATTAAATCTGCATATCTTTGGTTAATTATAGTTCATAGTTTTAAGACCTGAAAATCCTTAAAATCTGTACACATACAAAACAAATAGACTATTTTATCATAATTTATGTATTTCAATAAAACAAAAGCCTAGGGGCTATGAGGTTAAAGACAACGGTGCAATTAATAAAATAAATAAAAAAATGTTCAACCATATTTCACTCCATAATAGCATACGTTTCCTATAAAGATTAATTTAAAAAATATATTTTCTCTTCGGTTAAAGTAATGAACTACTTTGTTTTGTGTAAATAAAATTTCTAAATGAACAAGACAGAAATAACACAAATGAAAAATAGAACCATCTTGATCATTCATAACCTTTCTTATGCTTCACAGTAAACAACTCTTCAATATTTACTAGGTTGTCATTTCAATATACTATTTCATAACCTACCAATAAATTACAAACCAATGCACTATGAGTTTTCTAATCCATTTATATAAATTTAGAAATTAAACTTACTATTTCTTTCTGTTCTCTTGGAAAAGAAGAAAATAAGCACTGTTCTTATGCTCCAGATGCTACAGAAAAGGTAAAATTCAGAAACAAAAACCATCATTAGAATAAGTAAATTAGAAGCCGTATAAAATGAAAACAAATACACATTCCAATTAGGTCCATTGTTTCCTTTTATATGTCGAAATTCAAAGGGTACTCACGTTTTTTGTTTTTTCTTTATTGATTTGACAGAAAGAGAAAGGGAGAGATAGAAACATTGATGATAGAGAACATCGATTGGCCACCTCCTGCTGCCCCTCATTGGGGATTGGGCCCACAACCTGGGCATGTGGCCTGACCGGGAATCGAACCAACAACCTCTTGGTACATGGGTCGACGCTCAACCACTGAACCACACCAGTTGGGCAAAAGGTACTCCTTTCTGTCAGAGATAATCAGAAGACTACCTGTGCTTTCACAGGAGTTCTCAACCTAAAATTCATGGATCTTCTGAATTGCAAAACTGCCTTTGTGTACATAAATGCATTTCTATGGAGAGACCACTGCTTCTGTCACTCTCAAAGGAATCTATGAACTCCATATAAAATTAGGAACAAATATTAGAATCCCTTCTTACTAAGTAAGCATCCACTCCAAAAATGCATTCCCATGCATTAAGGGAAAAACATGTATAAAAATCCAGAGCATTGCCCTGGCTGGTTTGGCTCAGTGATAGAGCATCGGCCTACAGTCTAGAGAGACCAGGGTTCGGTTCCCGCTAAGGCATTTACCTCGGTTGCCGTTTGTCCCTGGCCCTGGTTGAGTCGTGCAGGTGGCAACCACTCGATGTGTCCCTTTCACGTTGATGTTTCTCTCTCTCTCTCTCTCCCTCCCTACTCTATCTGAACAAAAAATGGAAAAATTTCCTCGGGTGAGGATTAAAAATAAAAAAATAAAAATCCAGAGCATTACACAAATGTAAGTTGCTACTCCTTTCCTATTACTTAACATCGGAGGGATCTTGTCTACTAGTAAAGTAAGTTATGGGGGGTAGGGGGGATCTTATCTTCAAATAAACATTAATAAGTAAATTTAGCTAAACATTTCCTTCCAAAGATTTTTATGAGGATACTTGTTTAAACCTTGCATTAGTAAGCCAGTAAATGATATTTAAAAAATTTTAAAGAAAATCAAAGGATGATCCAAATCACAAACTTAGTCATCTTTTAAATTTGATGCAAATATAGCAAAATACCTTTTTCCATAAAACATAGCAGAAGAAGTATACAAACATTATTTATAATTTTATAAAAGAACTACATTGTATCTGAATATAAATTTAGATAAGTATGAAACTTAGTTCATTACTCTAAAATACCATTGCTATTCTTGGGAGTCAGCTTGCAAGGTAGTCACAAGTGCACCCTATCTCCTGGTATTCACATGTTTAGTCCGCTCTCACCAGTGTTGATCTGTGTGACCAATAGCATATAGCAGGAGGAATAGTATGTCATATCAAAAGCAGGTTATAAAAGTCTACAGCGTGCATCTTGGGCCTCTTCCACTCACTATCTTTCTCTCTCTTGGATTACTCATTCTGAGAAAAGCCAGCTGCTATGACATGAGGACATTCAGGGAACTCTACAGAAATGCCCATGAGGCAGGAACAGAGGTCTCTGGCAAATGGCCAGTGAGGAGCTAGGGCCTGCCAACAACTACATGTATGAGCTTAAAGATAAATTCTCCAGCCTTAGGTAAGCCTTGAGATGATGACAGCCCCAGCCAACAGCTAAGATAAAATTTATATATCCTGTATATGAATAAAAGACCCTGAGCCAGAACCACCCAACTAAGCTGCTCCCACATTCCTGTCCCTCAAGAACTGAGAGAGATAAACATTTGTTGGTTTAAGCTACTAAATTCTGGGTCAATTTGTTATACAGCAATAAAGAACTAATACATGCTTTTTACATTGTTATAATTTATTTTTATGATCTAAAAACACCAAATAACCAGTACCAGATTTCCACATGGTACTTGAACAACTACCTAAGCCCTAAAATAACAACCCTGTACATTATCCTTATCAAGGAAAGGAAGATGAGAGAAGTGGATAAAAATAATGTTCAGAACCCTCAAGGATCCTACAACAATAGAAAAGTCCCATAATATTTCTCCACTTAAACACTGTGGCAAACCAAGAGAGATGATTAAGGAAAAGAAGTACAGGGAAAGAAAACAGAGAACACAAGAGAAAAAACTGCAGAGATAATGACTGAAATTCTGCAGGAAATCAGTAAATTTTCTTAAATGAGTAGATACTTTTTTAAAAAAACATATGTAATTTTCGCCCTGGCTGGTGTGGCTCAGTTGGTTGAGGATCATCCCAAGCACTGCAAAGTTGCAAGTTCCATTCCAGGTTAGGGCACATGCCCAGGTTGTGGGACGATCCCCAGGTCCAGTTGCACACAGGAGGCAATCGATGGATGTTTCGCTTTCACATTGATGTTTCTCTTCTCTCCTTCTCCCTCTCCCTAAAATCAATAAAAAACATATTTTTAAAAATAAATATATGTAATTTTCACAGTGTAAAAACAAGTATTGAAATAGACTCTCCCTTACTTGAAAATAAACCCATTAGTCCCACGTAAATAAACTTATCCATAAATTCTCCTTTTGGTTTTTATCAGAACTACTGCAGGAGAAAATGAGCTATCAAATTTCCATGTGTCAAGTTTCAAGACTGGAAAATGTAGAACATAGAAATTATTCTTTAAGGCTAAATTAAATGAAATTCGCTGGCATTTAAAAAAATAAAATTTAGAAAAAGAATTAAAGTACTTCAGGAATCTATGTTTTAGTTATCCGAACAAAGGTTTTCCTCTCCAAATAATTAAATATAATTTATGAAAATGTGGCAACATATTTTGTGAAGATGTTAAAGATACCATTACTGACTCCTACTTTGAGAATAGTGACATAATCAACATTCCCTCTCCTATTCTAGAAATAATCCAAACAACAATGAGAACAAAAGCAAAAATACAAATTCCTTTTCTGGTAAAAATAAGATATAGCTAAAAGCCAACCCTCAAAATATGTGGAAGGGCTCTCAAAAGAAATGGAGATCATGTAGGAACTCAAATGAGTGGCAGCAGAGAAACACTGCTTATCTCACAAAGAGGTAGCAAGATAAAAATCTCAAAGTGTAAAGCCTAAAACTGTTGTTTATCTCAATGAAAAGAAGATACACGTGTTACAGGCAGAATCTCCTCAGTTTGGTTCCAAGGATGCACAGAGAAGGCAGAGCTTAAAGAGAAATCATTCATTCTTTCTGCCACACTTAAGTGCTGTCTTTCCAACAACCACACGAGCTCTATCCAATTTATTGAAATGTTTTAGGTAAGATTTAAATACTATATAAAACTAAAAATGAGAAGATATATAGGTCTCAATATTTATAACTATGTTGACTATTTTGTCTGTTTATTTTTTAGCAAAAATAACCTTCACATTCAGACAAAAACAAAAAACAAACAAACAAAAAACACAAAAACAAGTTATTTATTTTGGTATAAGGAATAAGGCAGGAATCAAGCTTTACATTTTATTTATATCTATTTATTTTTCAGTATAACTCAACACCATTTCCCCCCAATGATCTGAAATGCCATCTCTATCATACATAAAAATCATACATAAAAATTACTTTGGGAATTTATTTCTGGATTTTGTGTCTTTTTCTTTGGTCTGTCCTCTATTTATACATTATTCCAAACTTTTAATTAATAAAGTTTTATAACGCATTCGATGCTTGGCATACCTGTTTTTCATTCTTCTCCTTTTTTAGAATTTCCAAGACTATTCTTATGTGCTTACTTTCCCATAAAAATTATAAAACTGTGCCAAGATTTCTAAAGTATTGTTGGTATTTTTATTCTGATCACACAATTTTAGATTAATTTAGGGAGAACCGATCTCATTGCAATATTAAGTCTTCTCATCCAAGAATAGAATGTGTCTCTTAATTATGTCTCAGGACATAATTATTTAAGTACAATACTCTATCAAGTGAATATCTATTTATCAATACTGCAAAAGAAATGCTTGCAAAAGTATTTTCTTACCTACCAAGTAAATGCAATTGACCCCTGACACCATAAGTTTGACCTGGGTGGGCCCACTAATAATGTGGATTTTTTTTTTAATAAATGTATTTTTTATTCCTTATGATTTTCTTAGTAAGATTTTCTTTTTTCTAGATCCCTTTATTTTAAGAATACAGTATATAATACATATAACACACACGATGTGTATTTGTCAACGATTTATGTTATTGTTAAGGGTTCTGGGCAGTAGTAGGCTATTAGTAGTAAAGACTTTGGAGGGTCAAAAGCCATATATGGAATTATGACTGTGCAAGAGGGATGGGAGGTTTTTTCCCCTAACCCCCATGTGATTCAAGGGTCAACTGTATTCTCCTTGAGTAAATTTCAGGAAATGTTCACAGATACCTTCTCTTTAAGAGTCAACTATAGTTGGTCAAAGATACTTTGTATTCTTATTAGAGTGCCATGAAACAAATGTTTAACTTTCTTCAAAAGGCTACAAATTATCACTTCTCAGCCTTTTGGCTAAGATCAAGCAAAGTATCTGTTCTTATCATCATAAAAGGCTACAAATTATGTTTGTCAATCTTCTGGCTGGACTGAGAAAATATCCGTTATCAGCTACTTGGGAGGAGGAGTGTGAAGGAGTCATAAAAATTATACAGGATCAAGCCCTATCCTCAAATGGCTTTCAATTTAGTAGAACAGTGATTTTCAATGAGTGTGCCACTACACACTAGAATGGTGTAAGAGTTTTTAAAATATGCAATACCTATTGAGTCAGGGCCACTGACCTCTCTTCCCTTAGATTATCAAATAAAAAATCACAACAGCCAACAAAACAATAGCTATCAGGTGTGAATGAATCAAAATTAAAGCTTTTTTTCTTTTTTGTCAAATCAGCAAAAGATTTATTTCTTTGTGTGCCACAGAATTTTAGTACTTAGTTTATGTGTGCCATGAGATGAAAAAGG